GGCCAGAAAGTATGAACAGCAGAGAAATCCCCTAATCTGGGGGTAGATGCCAACAACCAGGTACTGGAAGCACAGAGCTCTCCAATAAAATTTAACCCGAAAAGGAGCTCAGCTAGACACCAAGCAATCAAAATCAAAGACAAAGTTCTCACAGCAGAAAGGCCGCATCTAGGGGAAGCAATACCACTATCTCCAGATGTCTCCACAGAAACCCTGGAGGACAGGAAAGGAGAATGATATATTCAAAGCACTGAAGGGGAAAAAAAAAATCACCAACCCAGAATACCTTACCCAACAAAGCTGTCTTTCAAAACTAGATAAATAAAAACTTCCCTTGACAAACACAAACCAAGGGAGTTCACCACCCGACTTTAAGGAACTCCCTAGGTAAAGGGAGTTTTTAAGCTGAAACAAAAGACCTCTAAATAGCCCACAAAGCATACAAAATTATAAAACTCAACGGTCTAAGGAAAAGAGCCATATTCAGAATACTCTAGACAATGACAGTGTATATAGCAAGTCCGTACCCAGCAAGAGGGTTAAAACAGAAAACTACTCATATCTACAGGAGCAGAAATGAATTAAATTGAAACAAAAAATTTTTTAAAAAAATCAAAGAAACAAAAAGTTGCTTTTTTGAGAAAAAATAAAAATTCTCATACAAAAAACATAAAATGTTGGGGGAGGAGTAAAGGCAGAGCTGTGTGCAGTCAGCTTGAAACAGGCTGTTGCAGGCTTAAATTGCTCTGTGTAAGCCTCACAAAGCAAAGCTCTTCAGCGGAGCACACAACCAAAATAGAAAGTATTCAAAGCATACCAGCACATCACAGCAGAGAGGACAACAGCAAAAAAGGAAGGAAGCACTACAGGCGACCAGAAAGCGATTGGCAAATGGCAATCACTAAATAGTGAGTCCTTACCTATCAGTAAGAACCTCGCATGTAAATGGATTAAATTCTCCAATAAAAAGACACTGACTGACTGGATTGAAAAATAATAACCAAGACCCAATTCTATGCTGCCTGCAAGAGAGTCAATTCACTTTTAAGGACACACACACACACAATCTGACAGGGATGGAAAAAGATTTCTCAGGAAAACCAAGGAAGAGATGTGTTTTCACATCAGACAAATAAGACTAATAAATTACAACAACATTCTATAATAAGGGGGTCAATTCATACAATTGTAAATATATCTGCACCAACATCAGAGCACCTAAATATACAAAACGAACATCAAAGTCCCCGAAGGAGGGAGAGTGTGATACTGAAGAGTGACCCTGAAGACCTGCCACGTGGCTGCTCAGATTTCAGGCTCCCTGAGCTCTGGGAACTCCTGGCTGTCCCTTTACCAGCCCTGGGCATTCCCCGCGTGTGGCCTGATTCAGCCAACACTGAAAGGTATCATTTTCTGGGTAGTACTCTCCCCTCTGGACCTCTGCTCTGCAGTCTCCAGCTTCTCTGTTTGGTGCCCCTTCTGCATACAGAAATATGTTTCATTGGGATAGAGAAATATGTCTCTAGACAGAAAACTGGGACAATCATGGTGCTTTCCCTCTATCTCAGGCAGCCACGTCCTATGTAGTCTGCTGTCCAGTGTCTGAGAACAGTTGATTCACACACTTTGTCCGGCCTTCTACTTGCTGACATCAGGAAGTCCAGTTCTTGCTAACTCCACCACAGTGAGAAACAGAAGTCATTTAACATAACAAGGAAACACAGAATTCCAGAAATATAATGTGTACATGTGACAGATCAGCAGGATTCAAAGGACAGGGATATGTCAAAATGG